CGCCAAGCTCCTGGCTGGGAATACCAAATTAAGGCAGGATGTTAACAAAATTATCGCAGCAACAGAGTACATTGCTGATGCCACCCTGAACGCTGCTACCATGAGCCCTTTCATGACAGAAACCATCAATTGTCTTTCTCTAAACGTTCCTATCGCGGAGGGTCCAGACCCTTCAGATGTTATAAGTTACCATCAGCGGATGACTCCCATACGAGGGCGTCTCCAGCTGTTCCACGACCAATGGGAGCAGTTACTTCCCGTCAGACCTGTGGATCCTTCAGATGATACGCATAGGTGTAACATTAGAGTTCATTCCCCTCCTCCCCGACACTTCGTTCGGTGTCCAACCCCCTCCTGTCGGGTCAGGAGGGCTCCCATGGAACAGGAGATCCTTCACCTCAGAGACATAAACTCCATAGAACTGGTTCCACCCGGTCAGGAAAGGGTTTTATTCAATACTCTTCCTTGTCCCAAAGAATTCCAGGGTGGTGGTGGAGGGGGGGACTCTACCCTCGATCTAAAAAAGCTAAACCATCATATAGCATACCGGAGGTTCAAGATGCAGTCCCTTCAGTCAATTCTGGGTTGCATCAGGCCGAGAGATCTCTTAACATCCATACATCTCAAGGAGGCCTACCTCCACATCCCCATTTGCAAACCTCACCGCAGGTTCCTGAGATTCTTTTATGCAGGCCGCCACTACCAGTACAGGGCTCTGCCATTCGGCCTGACCTCGGACCTTTACAAAGATCCTAGCTGAGATCTCACCCGGTCCGCCTGCATTGCTACCTGGATGACTTCCTCATTCAGTCACGGCAACAAGTGGTGCAAGCTCTGCAGCACACACTGCAAACCCTCCAATATCACGGGTTCTCCATCAACAAAGAGTCATCTGCATCCGACCACCAGGCTGTAGCACCTAGGTGCCATCATCGACACCACCAGTTGCCAGGTCTCCCTATCTCCAGAGCGGTTGGCAAGCATCAGAAACCAGATGTTGCAGGTACTGCAGGCATCGCAGGCATCGATCGTGCAGCTGTCACAACTCCTCGGCAAGATGATTTCATGCCTGTCAATAGTACCTAGGGCACGCCTTCATTCTCGACACCTGCAATGGCTCCTGCCCTACCAGAGGCCCGGCCTGGGTCTCTGCAGCTGGCGTGGGTGTGGTCGTCATTGGCGGGACGCCCGGCCTTGGGTCTCTGCAGCTGGCGTGGGTGTGGTCGGCGGCACAGGGACACCGGGCTTGGGATCTTTGCAGCTGCCGCTCCCCACACCGTGGTGTTATGCCGATTGTTCCCCCCTCCTTGCTTATGGACATGATAAATTGGATCAGCAGGGAGTGGCTGAGGCAGCTGGCATGGATATTGATGCCAGCAGAAGATGGCTTCAGTAGTTGGCATAGGCAGGGTTGGAGTGGGGGGGGGTTCCTTCATTGTGGCCCCTTCCAGTATCACTGCCGTTGCCTGGGCCACCGTACTGTGTCATTTTGCCCCTACTCTTGTGACAATATGGACTGGGTCAACGGAGTGCAGCCCTGGCGATGGATATGAGTGCAGCTGACGTGGACAGAGCTTAGCTGCTGGAGTTGTTGAAGTTGGAGCAGCTGCTGCTGCCACCGCTGTCCTCATCACCGCCACTACGGGCCGCTTCACCACCTCGCAATTCATCATCTGCTGCAATTTTGACATCTGGCCATTACTCTTACATATTGTCCTTAACCCCAACCATTGTTATGATAAACATAAGCTTCCCGCTCCCCCCTTGAACACCGGCGGCTGCCCCCCCCCCCGTGGATATGTCATCTCCTCATTCCATCTCCCCGTGATGTCACCCCGTTTGGTTGATGCCACACTCTATGTTATACTGCGACAGAACTTTATTCCTTTCGGGAACTCCCCCTTTCCCGGGGATGGCCTTCTTGCCTATCAAGATGCTTCCTTAATGACGGATCTTGGGATCCTGAGATGTGGCATGCGAAGAAGAGACTTCTTAGCGGTTTTATACAGGGTTTTTTAAGGGAGGGTGCATGGGGGTTGATTCGGATGGCTCAGACAGGCTTGGGGGGGAGTCTGCCAGGGCACAGGCCAGAGTTAACTAATGGGCGTGGGTCGGGAGTGCTGGGAAGGGTTGGGATTCCGGGGGAGATATTAAGCCAGGGGTTCACCATCTGTACTGTTTATGGGAGAGGCAGATATGGTGGGGGCAGAGGGCCAAATTATGTTTGGGGGACGCGGGTTTGCTGTTTAAGAGTGATTGCGCGTTCCGACCCTCATCACCCTTCTCACACCCCT